TTTATGAAACAATTCTCAGCCTTACTATGTGCAGTATGCTCTAATGTTTGCTATGCTAATCTTTTTCACGTTTTCAACTGTTGGTTGTGACCTAATTAGTTGTCTTTAAAACCACAGTAATATTTTATAATCCAATTTGAAGAACAGTGAACTAATAGGTATCTAATGACTTCTTACACATACAGTATTCTATTATTTTGTTGTACATTTTCTTTGAATGAAATTGTTAACAACTATGACTAGTTTTATCAATATAATAGGAAAGGGGCCGGAGAGATGGCTCAGTGGAATAAGCACTTCTCTGGCAAGTACAAGGGCCTGAGTTCAATCCCCAGTCCTGCAAAAAAATTAGGAAAGATGGGTAAAATCAGTGTAGCTCATATCAAAGTGGACTAACAAATTATATATCAGATATATTTTAAATTGCTTGAATATTTTAGAATATGTCATTTTCTAAAATACTGTGATGCCAGCTTTTATTATAACCTCTGGAAGACACTATAACAAACTTTCCAGATGTGAGGGAAAAAAATAATATTAGTGACACCCATTACTGACTCTAAAAATCGTTTCCCTTACTTATTCTTGTACTATAATTGGTCCTAAAAACAGGTGCTCAGAAATGTCATATTAGGGAACATTCATACCTTCATAAATATGACTCCTACTCATGTAGACACCTTAATTCTTGGTGTAATCAATAATATCAGTAGATTAGCAATAAAATAATTCAAAAGACTCCAAAACTCATTACCTTAGTCTCATACATCTTAATTGTGAAAAGCAGTGTAAGCCTAAATATCGGTTCTATTTCTTCCAAATTCCAGTAATTATCCAATTGCCAAACACCACTGCCACAATCCACCTCTCATGAATTGGCTGGGAGGAGCCAAAATGTGATGATGTATAAATTTCATTGGGTATGTAGTTTAAGGAGTACTTAAGGAACAGTTTTTTTTTTTTTTTCTACAGTTTTATTGATAAACATATAGCAATGAGACAGTTTCAAATCAAATCGGAAGTACAGTTTCAACAAATAATACACTGCATATATTATTCTTAGTGGTT